CAAAAAAACAAGCAGAGTCATAGGCAACGTTCACCTTTTCAACTGGTAGCCACAACATGCGGCCACTTGATCTGGAGCCGATTATATGCCGCCGATGTTGGTCAGAGCCACGCGCTGGGGTTGGCAAAGCACAGGACACGCGCTGACTTCCAGATATTGTTATGGTTCGGCTATTGTCGTCATTGCAGCGATTGGACACGGGCCACTACCCGAATGCTTCTCGAGATATTGAATACCATGAGCAAAAATCCAGTACTCACGCAATGATCGAGTCAAATCTATGAGCGTCATTTAAATATTCTTGAGCAGTACTGCGACCCCCAGTACGTCATCAATTTTTGCGAAGGAAAAATTGAACGAAAGCGCTCGCTTTTGTTCTTAAAATTCCACCGCAACAAAGGACTTTTTCGGTCAGTGGCGTTGCGTGCCAGTATACTCTGGTCCTACTAGTGCTAGTAAGCTAGTGTAAAGTGAAAAAGACATTCCAAGGTAATACAATTACAAGGACTTCTTGCATGGGAAATACAAGGACTGAGAAATGAGATATTCACCTCCATGTAGAGGAGTTGATTTCCTCTCCAAGCAGCCTGCTTAACGGCATCTGATATATATTTTGTCTCAAAAATTAAGTGCGGGGGAAGGCATTGACGCACGCAATTAATAACAGAATTGCCTTCACGCGCGCGCGCTTAGGGATCTCGGATGGTGTGTCCTCTCTCTTCTGTCCCGTCTCTTGGCGCTGTACGTTTTAATCATAATTATATTAAGTGTCTGCATGAACGTAATGTTTCTCGGAATACGGCGCTCACGCACAGATGAAAAGAGCAGTAAAGCGTTTTGATTTATACATAAAAAGCGTCATAATAACGAAGCGTGTTACTTGTTAGCTGTAATGGGTAAAGGGATCCTTTTATTTTAAAGCAACGTACGTAGGTCCATAAGGCGTTCCTTTCTTTTTAAAAATACAAGTAATGTACTTCGTTACTTATGTTTTTAGGTAGCGCCTACAACATTGGATAGTGCTCACAAAATGCGAGAAATAGAGCTCGTGACATTCGCTCATTTTTTCTTGGCCGTCGACACCCTAGGTAGCGCGAGTTGTACAAGTTTCGGAGCATTTCAGCCTTATACTGTTGTTTATTATTCACCCATGTGATAAACACATGCCTGATTGCATATGATAGCACAAAAAAAGTATTGTTTTAAAGATCTGTTAAGCAAAATGTAATATTATAGATAACTAGCCCACGTCTGTTCGCACACCACTGGTGGTTTCTTATTTGTTTTATTTTGTATTAATTTTTTTTTTATTGTATAGCAGTGAAAGCGTGTCACTCTTGTCTTGTTCTGCTATCGCTGTTGCCAAAAAAGGTGGCGTGGCCTTGTCAGGCACTTCAAAGTGCCATTAGCCATGTCCCCTGAGACTTTCTGTAAGTCTGTCTTAAATAAACTGATACAAACAAACAAACAGAACAAGCCTGTTCAGTCACACCGCTCCCACTCAAAACACCACTAACGCGTCACTAAAGAAAAAAAAGCTGACACGGGACCCAGAAAAAAAACGGACAGGACAACAATGTGTACCAGGCTTTAACGCGGAATCTGTTATATGGCTGGCTTTAACCATTTCCGGTTCCCAGCCAGGGACGGTTGTCGATAAGCCGAATGCCAGCCAAACAATGACGGAGTGCTCGTTGCCTCGGTTACAGTGCTGGCCGAACGTCTTCTTTAAGTGCATTCTTATTAAGGCCCGTTCACACACTCGCCTTTGCATAAGACCGTCTGAGACAAGACCGGTTCTAAGCCTGTAGTGAAGGCTGGTCGTAGGCAGTCTCAAGAGCCCTCAAAACCGCTCTTGCCTCAGTCGATCGTTACCAAAAGCAAGTGTGTGAAAGGCCTTCACATAGTGAAAACCAGGGCGACTGGGGCGAAGACAAAGAAGAGCGACACACTGGACAAGCGCTAACTAGCAACCGAAATCTTATTAGAGCAGAAACGCGAAATTGACGCTGATGCCCGCGCAGGCACAGGCACGACGTGATATTCAAACACTTCCCGTTTTTCAAATCTTACAAAAACAGTTGCAGGAAATTCACGCTGCTGCACGCGTGACGCACGACGCAGCCGCAGGAGAACGAATTTCGTGCCGCGTTTTACGTCACCCGCACTACGGTTCAATTCAGCTTCAATGGAGTTTCCCGTACGTTTGTTTTACGGCAGAGCATATTCGGCTTATTTTGTTACGGGCAGAAACGAAACTAGGTTCACTCCGTATCGAGATGGGACCCCATTCAGTCCGTGTGGAATGCGGTACATATACGGAATGAAGAAAACTTTCTTTCTAAGGGGAGGAAGTGGCCGAGTGGGCTAACGCGTCTCAGCTCGGAGCGTGGAGCGAAAGCTTGCGCTGGGAACCTCCTGGGTTCGATCCCCGCCGCCCCCGCCCGTTTCGATCTGGATGAGTTTCGTACCGGCACGCGTTCCTGTGATCACTACTGCGCGATGCACGTTAAAAACCCCAGGTTAGCGGTTACCGCACTGGCCAAATTTCTCATCTACAGCTAAGAGACCGATTACCCGTTGAGGCGCATCTCCATCAAGGCTGTATAAACATAAAGAGCAAGCCAATTTTTTTTTCTTTCTACAGCGAGAACTGTTAGTGGGACACTTGGCGCAATTCGCGCCGTCGACGGCGCTCCATATCGACGCGGGCCATTTTTGGCACTCTATCCAAACGTTCTACATTGCAGTCACACCGGTGACGTCACGCCGCGCATCACGTCACCTGTTACCTGGCGTCAGCTGACACCATGACGTGACACTGTCATGTGAGGTCAGGTTGCACAGTGACGCCAAGCGACTTAATGACGTCAGGTGACGTCGTGAGTCACCCGATGTCATGACGTCACGGAAAACTGTGACGTCACGTGAGAACACGTCGTCACGTGACACCATGACGGCACGTAAACATGTGACTGCTGATAATGGCGAGAATGAAAACAAGGCGTTTGTGTATAGGACGTTCAGGCAGCCACACCGACAGAAAACGGTTCGTGCATACACGCGCTGTTTCGTCGTTGCCTGCATTTCAATCTTGGGCGCACGATTTTCAAAATGTCCTTCAATTACCACCAGGCAGTCCCTTAATACACACTCACTGGTTTCAAAACGCTATGGAATTTTCGTCCGATGTGTTACTCGGTTTCATACGAAACGCCTTTGCGGACTCTGTGGTGCGCGCTCACGCCTTTACCATTTATTCAGTCCATCTGCTCCGAAATGACACCTTAGTGGCACCAACGTCACACCTCAGCTGTCGCTGTGTTTCACCTTAAGTGTTTTCACGTATGCACTTCCCATTTCCTGACTAGGTCCTGCGACAAGATAAAAAGGACAGTTAGAACGAAAAAGCGCCCTTTTGATCTACCTGTGCCTTCTCTTCCTCATTGTTCTATGTGCTTTTTTACCATGCCGAATGTGTATAAGAGCCTTTACACACGGCTGGTGGAGAAACATCATCTGTTCAGCCATAAAACGGCGCTGCGCTCCGTGAAACGTGCGCACCCTGGGATTCCACAGAGAAAGTGCAAGAAAGCGCGACAGAAAAGCAGAACAAAAAGCAGACGCACCATTCGACGCGTTTTTTTTTTCCCTCGCAACGGTAGCAAGGAGTTGAGGTACGTTCGAGTGTTTGAAGTCTGGGCCGCGAGCTGGCGCCAAAGTTCTGCTCGGCGACGCCACATTTGTTCTGCTTTTAGCGCGCTTCGTCTACTGAGTCTCGAACTTCAGGAGGCTTCGAGAAAGTCGCATTTATACTGCCACCGCAGAAGATGGCGCGCAGCTAGCACTCGGTCCATCGAGTCTCTCCACTTGTGTACAGAGTTTCCGCACACTAACATATTACTTTCTGTGTTACCACTGCCTTTCGTACGGCAAAGGGGCGAGTGTCTCGTGTGTCCGGTGTGTCCGGCTTTTTTTCTCTTAACGATGCATCACCAACTCGCCTCCACGACAACCCTTTTTTACTAAAAACGTCTCTTGACCCATACGTTGTATTGGTTTCATCGAAAGAAAAGTCAAATCAACATTCAAAGTGTCGAGTGAGTGAACAAACAAAGAAGCTGCACTATTTCTGTTGAAATCAGTAAATGAACGGGCTGCAAAATATCACCTATACATAATTTCTTTTATGGTTCATTTCACTTTATGTTCGAGCGAAGGAAAGCTAGAAGCAAACGATGTCACCATTTATTGTGAGAGGTGCCCCTGTGCGCCTAACCTTGAAGATACGAAAATTGCAGGAAAATGAGAAAACTGGGAGATAATTAGTTAAGGCCCATTGCATAAGAGCGAAAGGTGACGACTGCTGCTTCAGTGCACCGTCGGTGCACTTAACCGAGAAAGAGTTGGCTTATTTATGTCGGGAGACTGATCGCGTGTAAAAACAGTGTGCTTTAAATGAACGTTCGGTTGTAAGTAGCGCTTGGTCATGCCTTACTTTATATGTCCAAGTACTTTCGAGGCAATTTTTCTGTCATAGGATGTTTCCCTGGACTATATATAGCCTTATACGGGTATGCCTTAAGGATGCTTCAACTTTACCAGGACGCGTGCTCGGCAGAGACGCCGAAAGCCCGGAGCTCGCTCTTGTCGCTTTTCTTGTGCTCGCAGTAAAACAAAGTATGATCAACTGTCTGCAAAGTCGGTTCGCTCGAATGGAAAGATTCGAAATCTCCTTTGAGGCACCCTGAAATAACACAGTGCCCCATTTGAGGCAGCCTCACAGAAAGGACCAACAAGGCCTGAGTACAGCGCGCCGCAGATACAACGGTCTTCACGTGCAAACATTCTAGTGTATCTCGTCACTATTTTCAATCAGATTACTTTAAATGCTATTTCGCCAATTTTCTCACCTGCTACAATGCAATGCAGCGATACTTAACAAGACCTAAAACGTCAAACTTGTTTCTTCGCGATAAAAAGAAAAAAAGTCTACTTACCAGATCTTGATCTTCTGGGCATAGCTCAGCTATCAAGTTTCCAAACCGCAGGCGCTCCACGTTGTCCGTTGCGATGGTGAGTAAAGAGGCCTGCGATAAACGACGTTCACTTTAATAACTCGCAAGCATACAGGAAGCTCATTGTACCACACTGACTGCCCACCAGGAAAAATAAGGTATTGAAAAACGCTCAAACGCGACGAGAAGGCGCGGATAGAACCAGGAGAGCATGTTGGTTAAACATTTTGTTTAGTTTCTTGAACGCAAAGGGGCAACAGCGTGCTTTTTGTTCGTCCGTTGTTGCCCCGTTGCGTTCACGAAACCAGGAAAATAAGAAAAGCAGCTGTTATAACTCTTAAGCACAGCACAGAAGAGACAACACCAGATCTTAGAATCATGAAGCCCGTAGCCAATATCAAGGAAATAAAACTCGGTAAATGTGTACAGGGTGTTTGAATTTCAATTCGAACAAATTTATTATAAAAGAAGCCTTGAAAATTACTCTAATTTAGTCCGAGAAAGTGAGTTATACGGCAATGGGGACATAATATATAAGGTGAATCATCACGAGAGGTTGAATAATTAACTAAAATTCGTTCATTCACTTTCTATTTCGTAATAATAAACATATGGCTCCAATTAAAAACTTGCTGCTCGTTATCAAAAACCACTAAATTAGTCCATTCTTGAAATGTTTAATGCGAGTGCAAAGCCGGGGGATGCCTTAAAGTTATTACTCGTGCAGCAGGCACAAGGCTAGCGGTACGAGACCGCGGATGATAAGATTATCATGCGCGTTTCCCAACCGCCAGCAGTTGCACGAATAATAACTTTAGCGCACCTCTGTGACTCTTACCCACGTGCTTTAAGCCTTTCGAAAATTGACTAATTAAGTGGTATTCGATCACGCTCAGAAACCTTGAAATAGACGATTTGTAATTTCGCAAAGCGTCCCGGCCCGCGCGCGAGGAATTATGGGAGAGACTGTCCCTCGCCTGGCCGCTCTGCGTTGAGGTCGCATTGCCTTGTCGCTTGCCTTGTCTTAATCCTCTGTTTTCCGATTCTATTACCTACTTTTATCTATTCCAGTGTATCTTTTATTGCTTCTAAGTGTTTCTATTCCCTTCTGCGCGCGATACGTCTTGTGTATATATAGTATTTGTGTCTTTATTTTGCCTTTTTAGACGGGAGTGCAGACGGACAACACGCCGCTTCGCGCGTCGTTCCCCGGGTGAGTGCTACCGTTGCTCTCGATTCCTATCGCGCTGTTAACTGTTCATTTTGGTTCATTTGACCCGCCTGCAGTCGAGAGGAGCAGTTTATGAACACCCGCGCACATGTCATAGGGGTAGGCAGAGCTCTGAATCAACAATCGCGACGCGAGAGCCGAGTGTGCTGTGATTTGGCCGCCCGCGCTCGATCCGTTGACTCGCACTGTAGCGTATGTTTTCGAGTGCCACTTACTTGACCAAGATACAGTACGCCGCTTTGTCGCCGCGAATCATTCGTCTGAATGCCTGCGAAACGATAACACCATTCGGCATATCCAACGTGCGGTGCCTGACAAACTGCGCGCAGCGGCACGAGCCTATAGCAAGCGCCGGCGGTTCAACGTTGCGGCTTGTATATATGCGCCTTTGGCATGCACTCATGATCAGCCTGCTCGGCGGTTCTCAGTTGCAGACATCTTGACTCGAGAAATAAAATTACCGAAGGAACTACAACTTTCAAGATGACTGCCTGGAAGACAGCACATCTCCGCACTTGAAAAAAGCTGTTTGCAAGTGACAACCGCTTAGTAGAGAAATTAAGAAGGCATACCATAAGCGCATACAAGCCGCGACGTTGGGCCACCGGCGCTTGCGAAGTGCTGCCGCCGCTGCGCGCAGTTTGTCAGGCATCGCACGTTGGATATGACGAACGGTGTTACGGCTTCGCAGGCATTCGTACAGATGATTCGCGGCAACACATCTCTGCACTTGAAAAAGGGAGTTGGCAACTGAGAACCGCTTAGCGGATAGATTACGGAGGCATGCCATAGGCGCATTCAAGCCGCGACATTGAGCCATCGGCGTTTGCGAAGGGATCGCGCCGCAGCGAGCAGTTGTCAGGCGCCGCAGCGTTGCATATGCCTCAGCTTCGCAAACATTCGGACAAATGGTTTGCGGCGACAAAGCCGCTGTATCTTCGTCAAGTAAGCCGCACTCGAAGGCATACGCTACAGTGCGAGTCAACGCAGCGAGCGCGGGCGGCCAAATCACAGCGCACTCGGCTCTTGCGTCGCGATTGTTGATTCAGAGCTCTGCCTGCCCTATGACATGCGCGCGGGTGTTCATAAACAACTCCTCTCGACTGAACTTGGGTCAAATGAACCAAAATGAACAACTAGCAGTGCGATAGGAATTGGTAGCAACGGTAGTACTCACCTGGGGAACGTCGCGCGAAAGGGCGTGTTGTCCGTCGGCACTCCCGTCGAAAAAGACAAAATAAAGACACACATACCATATATGTAGAAGAAATATAGCGCGCAGAAGAGAATAGAAACACTTAGAAGCAATAAAAAATACACTGGAATAGATAAAAATAGGTAATAGAATCGAAAAACAGCGGATTCAGAGGAGGCAAGCGACAAGGCAATGCAATCTCAAGCCAGAGCGGCCAGGCGAGGGGCAGTCTCTCCCACAATTCCTCGCGCGCGGCCCGGGGTGCTGTGGGGGATTTCGCAAAAAGGCTATTGAATCCTTATGTCTGCTTTCACTAGTTTGAAAGTTATTACCTTATTTTAGTGGCATATGGGACTGATTGTTATTATAAATCTCCTATATTATGTCCCCCTTACCGCACAACCCACATGGACAGACCGTATTACTACACCCGCGGCTTTAAAAAAAAAGAAGAAAAAAAAAAGAAATATATATATATATATATGTGTGTGTCGAAATGAAAACTAAACATCGTATAGGAACAAAAATCCGAGCAAAAATATCGATGGGAGAGTTGGTTCATCTTTCATATAAGGATTGTTTAGATGTGAGTTCATCGCTTGTAATTGATTCTACTTTTCGCAAGTGTTCGCCTTTCTGTACTTGTATTCTGAGAACAAAAAAAAAATAAGGCTAACAATGCATGCGTACTAGCTCTGACAGTAGGAAAGAAAATGCAGTAGCGGCTGTTTTCCAAATAAGCACTGTCGTTTTAGGTAAAATATGGTCGACTCGCTATGATTGATAGGGAGCAAAACATTTCGTAAGAGCCAGGTGGTAAACGAATTGGTTGTGGTAAAAAGACTTACTCGAATGATCACAATCAAACTAACGTGCAAAGCAACGCTACTCCAAGTTTTTATTTTTATTTGGTGGAAGTGCCTGGCAACACTAACCTTGTTTTCGGGATGGAGCAACCCCTTCTACTAATTTTTCACCCCTTGTCGTTTGCTTTTATAATTTTCGAATTAGAGAGCGGCACTAACAGACCGTGGTGCGGGGAATGTTTTCGGTGCTATCCGGTCGTGACTTGGTTGGCGGCGGATTCGCCTCTCGCCACTCAAGACGTAGTCTGCTGCTCTTTTCTTCTTTTTTTTTTTTGCATTAAGTTCAAATAAAAGCCGCATGGATTACCTATGAATCGTCTGTTACGTGCACCTTATTTCTTGAGTAGGTTTCCTTTATTCTTTTTGGGTGGTAGAAACGAGCTAGCACAGCTACCTCAGGCGCCGTGTTAGTTCTGCGGTAGCGTGTGTGCTACGACATCATGATCACGGCGACTCTGTCGGCCTTCGTGCTTGTTATGCACGGCGTCGAAACTCTTCAGCAGTTTCCGCGACTGCCGAAGTGGGTACAGACGCTATCACTTCGGGCGATAGGAGGCGGGTTCCGCTATTCTCCGGGCAAAGACAAACAAGACGGCGCGAAGGGGCTTTGGAACCTCGAATATTAAACAAACTAGCTTACCCGAATACAATCACTGAGGACGCCGGTTAAAATTCGCGGCGTATTCAAGTGACGGACGTGAACATCAGGTTTCTCTGCCGATTAGTCTGCTGCAACGCTAGGACTACAGCGCCTAGGACTTCTTACCAGCGACGGGTGCCATCTTGTTTCGAGAGCCATGGACGCCACGTCAGCGTCGCGTTGCGATTGGTTTCCGATTCGCGGTTCGCGAAAGCGGTTGGGAGGAATCGGTCCCGAAGCGGTTGGCCAAAACGCATCCCAACCACGTGATCCAAGCCGCTTTGCGCTTGGAAACGCGCGGATTCGCTTCGCGGCTCTGGATCCGCTTCCAGTGTGAACGCGCCATACCGCCGAATGCAATGGCGCGAGGTGAGCAGCTAGCGCGCGAAAACTTTCGGGGGCCATGCCCAGATCATGGCCCCCGAGAGGCGCGCGAGCTTGGGGATCTCAGTTTCAGGAAAACGACGTCAGGCGGAGACTCTCAACCTCCCCATGGCCAACGGAGGGTGGCAATGGCTTCCCGCAGTCTGTGCACTGGATCTGCGCTCTATATCGGGTCTCACTCATGCCGGGTGTTGCGAGTCGCCCCCTGTTCGCTTCGTGTACGCGATTATTTCCAACCCGTGACCAAGGACCCTAATTGACAGCAGCGAGCCAAATATACCTTTCGCACCAAACTCAGAAGACCGACGAGGGGACGGCACCGCGACAATCTGTCCTCCACCTCTTCCTCCCCTTTCTCTCTCTCTCTTTCTTGTACACTCGCAATATCCTATACGCTCTTCCTGCTGTAAGTTCTGTCTTGTCATATTGCCAAAAGAAATCCATAAAATGTAAAATTACAATTCTTCGAGTCAAAATGCGTTGATTTCCCTACAATATTAGTAAGTAGCAACACGTTGAACTGAACGTCAAGTGAAATGAGAACTGTTACCTTCTTCACTCTACTACTCTAGTCCGCCGCCTTATATTAAGCGTGAAATACTATCTCTCTCTGCTAGAAGTAATAAAATGTTTCGTTATGTTATCTTTGACGGTTATTCGAGGCTTCGTGGACTTCGGAAATTTCTGACAATATAAATATATTCGTGAAGGGACAAAGAGATCGGGCTAGCAGGCAAAAGCAACTATTCGATTCCG